CTAGCGAGGATGATCAAAGAAGATCTAGACGCTACGCTCTCTGTCGACAAGTGCTCGCTCGTTTCCTCCTCGGTGGCGCTGGGCAGGAACATCTTGAAGGCCTTAGGCTCTTGGGCAGGGAAGTACAACCAGTCTACTACCAATCTTGGGTCCGACTTCCGAGCAGGCAAATAGGTTTCCCTCGCCAATGAATCCAAAAGGGCCAGAATAATGCGTAAGGTAAGAGCTCGCGCCGCTAGATTGCGACAGCTTGTCAGAGTTGCTGGGCAAGGAGCTCGGACAATTGTCACCTGTGGTCTTCTGCCTGCGGGGGCTTACGCGTCTGAAATAGAAGGGCTCTCTAACAATTATTTAGAGCAACTACGCAGCATTGAGTTGTCAGCATCGGGACCCAAATGCAAAGGTAAACGCAGAGCTGTGACGTTTGCGTTGTATGGGTGTAAGTCTGACAAGTGGGCCCTTGGGCCAGTGATCAGGTGGGCTAAAGAAGTTTGGGCTGCCAGCATTGGGAAGGCTGCTCCGATGGGTGCGATTGGGCTTCTGCAGTTGAAAGCTTTTTGGGATCAAGTTGGTCCTCAGTCGGGCCTTAAGCACAGTCATGTTCGAGGTCCCATCACGGCAGCAGTTCACGCACTCGATCGGATCGGCTGGAAGTTTCAAGGACCCGTCGTGCTAGTCACGCACGAGGACAAGGCATTCTCGCTCGCGGATCTCTCGCCAAAGCTGGTAGAGCACTGGCTGCTGGGCGCCTGCACCAGGAGCTGGGAGATTAAAGCTGCTCGCAGTCTCAGCCACATCGAACCCACACCCAGAGTTTGTTTCGACATGGTCAGGGGGGTTCTCGGTGGAGGAGGAGGAATCGTAGGCAGAAAACCAGCCAGGGATCCAGACGAAGACGAAGCTTCTCAAATCAAACTTTCCTCGGGACAGAAAGCCCTACTCAGGGCCGTCATATGTCAAGGTTATTGGACAACCAGTAGGGCAGCTGCTGCAGGATACTCCACAGAGGACCAGTGTGCACTCTGCGGAGCTTCAGGTGACACGCTCGTGCACCGCCTGTACTTCTGCCAGGCTGAGGAGGCTGTCGAACTGAGAACGAAACTGATTCACCCCGACCTGCTAGCCAAGTGTGTAGAAGCAGCTGATAGGTCATTGGTTTACCAGTTAGGCATCCTCCCCCACCCCTCCTCAGACCCAGATGGGTTCCCCGCTCCAGCTAGCGAATTTGTTATGGAAATCCGTCAAGTAGGTCGTGAAGCGTACTTAGGCACGCACTGCACATGTAAAGTGGGCCCGCTCACGGGGTCTGATGGCACGTGCACGCGGTCAGGCATTAAGAGTCTCGACAGAGCCGCCTGGGCGGTAGGAGGATTTTCGGCCGACGGGGAACTCGAAGTGGTTGTCTCGGGGCCAGTTGTTTTCCCCCTTCCTCAAACCCCGCAGGCGGCAGAACATTTAGGATTCTTAGTTTCGCAGCAGATCTTAACAAAACAAGCGCAGGCTTTCGTTGATTGTAAATCAGTTCTCGACAGTTATCACAAGCCTCTCGCCGCGAGACTGTCTTATAGGAGCATGTGTGCAGGCACATTTCGCACGGCCCTCGGCAGTGACAGCAGCAAGCTTCTTTCGTCTGCGGTGAAAGTAAAAGCACATCAGAGTGAAGACTCGGTGGCGGCAGAGGATCTAGTGCCATTTCGCATCAACCAGCAGTGTGATTTGTCAGCCAAGGCGGCCCTCCAGTTACATCCGTCGTTTGACCCGTCGTCTGAGTCGTCGTTGCGAGTCAAGATGGAGGATGCCGCCAACATTCTCCTCTTCATCCCTCGCATGCTGCAGGCTTGGCCGAAGCACCTGCGAGGGGAGCGAACTCCAGGCAAGCAGGATCATCGAATTCAGCTCTCGCTGGTACATGACTGGCAACGAGCCCAGCATGTCCCTTGGCGTTGTGCAGGATGTTCTACGTTCTCGCACTCGGATGAAGCGGTATCCAAGCGCCAAACCGAGCTGTGCACACCTTTCTCAGGAGAATTTAGGTCACGCTTACAGCTTGTGCACCCTTCCCACGCCCTCCCGGCAGCGACATGCCAAGACGGCCTCATTGTGTTCTGCGTCAGTTGTGGAATGCAGTGCTTGCTGGCACAGTGCCTTGGGCCACCGAAGAGTGGCAATATATTCACAGTGCGCAAGCGACTTCTCTCTGGCCTTCATCCAGAGGATGGCAGGCCTTTGAATGAGATTGAGCATTTGAAGGCACTACAGAGGAGTCAGCAGCCCAGGAAGGCCCCAGATACATAGGCTGGGGTCATCGGCGCTAGCCACGTCAGAAGGCTATCGCTTCTGCCCTCGAGCAAAAATCCTCCTCCTCCTCCTCCTCCTTCTCCCTCTCCTCCTCCTCCTGCTCCTCCTCCTCCTCCTTTTCATCATCCTCCTCCTCTTGTTTTCTTGTCTTCCTTCTCCTCCTCCTCCTCCTCCTTCTCCTCCTCCTCCTCCTCCTCCTCATTCTCTCCTCCTCCTCCTCCTCCTCCCCCTCCTCCTCCTCCTCCTCCGCCTCCTCCTCTCCTTTTCCTCCTTTCCTCCTCCTCCTCCTCCTCCTCCTCCTCCTCCTCACCTCCTCCTCCTTCCTCCTCCTCCTCCTCCTCCCTCCTCCTCCTCCTCCTCTCCTCCTTCCTCTCTCCTTCGTCTCTCTCCTCCTCCTCCTCCTGCTCCTCCTTGTCGTCGTGTCGTCGTCGTCGTCGTCGTTGTCGTCGTCGTCGTCGTCCTCCTCATCCTCCTTCTCCCCATCCTCCTTCTCCTCCTCCTCCTCCTCCTCCTTCTCCTTCTCTCCTCCTCCTGCTCCTCTTGCGTCGTCGTCGTTGTCGTCGTCGTTCGTCGTCGTCGTCCTCCTCCTCCTCCTCCTCCTCCTCCTCCGCCTCCTCCTCCTCCTCCTCCTCCTCTTTTCCTGAGGGTGCCAGGATAATGCTTCCGGGTGCTGGATGCGTTATCGATGCACCGGGAGGCGGAGCGTTCTTATTTGTTTCTTAGGGTTACCCCCATCCCCATCCCGAGCCCGACGATCTCGGCACCCCAGCTGGGGGTATACCCATCGAAACTCGAAGGAGACGGCCTGTACCCCCATCCACCGTCCAGGGGGGCATAATCGGCCAGTGAGGCGCGGGCCACCATGGGGAGAGGGTTCGGCCAGACGATGCTCCAGGAGGTCTGGACCCCTTCCCCAGGTCCGCCGCCTCATCCCGAGCAGTCCTGGTGACGGCCCTGGGGCCTGGCGAGGGCCCCATGGAGGCAGAAAATCTGTCAAAACCGCTCGTCGTGCAGTCTTCGGTGGCGGCCCCCGGGGCCTGGCGAGGCCCCAAAGGATGCCGAAAGTCATTCAAAACCGCTCGTCGTGCAGTCTTTGGTGGCGGCCCCCGGGGCCTGGCGAGGCCCCAAAGGAGGCCGAAAGTCGCTCCAGGCCGTTCGTCGTGCAGTCCCGGGCACGGGCCTCGGGGCCTGGCGAGGGCCCCATGGAGGCCGACAGTCGCCGAAGACTGCTCGTCGTATTTTTTTTTTGTTGCCGCAGCGCGCGGAGTGATCACCACCATAAGTTGGATGTGGGAAAGAGGAGGAGGGGGAGGAGGAGGAGGAGGAGGAGGAGGAGGAGACGGAGGAGGAGGAGGAGAAGGAGGATGAGGACCCCCTCCTCCTTCTACCTTATGGTGCTGGTGGTGGAAGACAGGGCCATCCACTTGTGCTTGGCGAAGGGACCAGGATTAGCAGTGGCTGTGGACTTGCCGTTTTGGTTGTTGATGGATGTCATTCGCTTGTGTCTCCTGCAAATTCGTTTTTTTAGTTCCAAATATTTGTTGCTTGTTTTTCACTTCGATTGCGGTCCGTGCCCGCACGCACAGCGTGCGCCAGCCGACGTCGAGAGGTCGGGGCGATCGAAATGGGCACGGAAGGAATGGCAACGAAGCCCAGCAGCAGTTCCTGCCCATTTTGAGCAGGGCTTGCCGTCGGCGCCGCCGCGGGCGCTGCCCACGGGAGACAGAAGGCCGCATGCCTTACGGCGGCCGCTGTCGGTTGTGGGCAACCTCTGCTGTTGGGCGTCGTGCCCGTTTTTTCGCATTCATTTCGGTCGTCCACAGAGAGTTCGCATGCCTCCCTCGGCGGAAGGCCAGCGGAAGGCGGCGGAAGCAAAACGAGGCAACGTCCGCCTGCGCAGGGCCAGCGAGTCAGCCGACGTCGAGAGTTTAGATCACTCCCTCGGCGGAAGTCCGGCGGAAGGCGGCGGAAGCAGAACCATCCGGCGTCTGCCGGCGGAAGGCCAGCGAGTGCGGCGGAAGTAAAGGATCGCCTCGCAAGAGGTCGCAAGGTTGTTTGGTTCAAGTTTGTTTGTTGGCATTCCCTACAGATCCGTGACCACTCGAATTCTGTTCCAGTGTGCTTGGACTCTGTCGGTGGCCGTATGGGGACACCTTGCAAGGCGCACGGCGCCTCAGCCCCGCGCTCTGATGCGGATCGCCCGTCGCGTTTTCCACGGGCGCCACGCGGGCAGCAAGAGACAATTCTCGGTGCACGTCGTGTTTTATTTGAGCCATGAGTTCAGGTTTGCCTGCGGTCTCGGGGCGGCGAGCGAGGCGAGGGGGGCGTGAGCAAGAGAAGGCTTTCTCAGAAGGCGGCGCGGTTCTCGGCGGGCCTCTTCTGAGAGGCTTGCCGTGTCTTCGGGGCCCTGGCATCGCTCGGACGTGTGCTTTTTGCCCTTCGGCGAGGACCATCGAGGAGCATCCTTGACCACTTGGCGAAAAGACCACGCACGACACCGAACGAAAACACAGGGAATGGACGTCCGAGCGATGGCGAGGGGCAGGCTCAGAACTCTCTGAGGAGGCCGGGGGACCTCCGAGCCTTCTGAGAAGGCTTTCTCTTGTTTCCCTCCGAAGCTCGCCGCCGAAGCAAAGGACAGTGAGAATCAGTTGAACATTTTTGTTGGTTCGCGGTGAGTTCGTGCCTCCTGGCGGCCTGAGGAGCTGCAGTCCGACCGCGAGGTGGTGCTCGAGGCCTCCAGAACGTGGGGCTCCGCCCTGACGTGCGCCGCCGAGGCGCTCCGGGGCGACCCCGACTTCGTCTGCCGCGTGGTGAGCGGGGGCAGCAAGAGGAGGAGGAGGAGGAAGAGGAGGAGGAGGAGGAGGAGGAGGAGGAGAGGAGGAGGAGGAGGAGGAGGAGGAGGTGGAGGGGGCGGGGGGATTCGACCCAGAGACTCGACGCTCCAGAACGACTGGAGCGGCCGGTGTTGGGCTGTTTTTTCGGCCTCTGGGGTCCGTCGCCGGGCATCGGGACCGTCGGATTGCAAACAAGAAGAAGTGCAACAACAAAAAAAAACGGAGTGCAATTAGAAAAACCAACGAAGGATTGCAAAAAAAACTACGGATTGCAAGACCAAGTAAGGATTGCAATCCTAGAAAGGACGCAGGACGAAACACCGTCCCTGGGGGAGTGGCCGAGACCTCCGGGACCCACGCACCGAAAAAAGATTGGAGCCGCCAGACGTCTGGTTGGGCCAAGCTGGGTGTCCGAGTCGATGGCGTCGGAGGATCACATCGCTCCAACGATGCGTCGCCAGTGCGGCTCGATGTGCACTCCAGATTTCGTAGTAAAAGGGAGGGGGTCTGGACCCTACAAAACAAGCCATTTCAGACCTCCCCTCGTGGGAGAACCCTCCAAAACATCGTCCCCAGACCCCCCCAGGCCCTCCAAGATAGCCTGGAAGAGACCCCCCCCCGAAATGAGACCCCCCTCCCTTTATTACGAAATCTGGAGTAGCTCGATTCTTTCCACGCCGACGTCGCCGATGCATCGCCGACGTCGCCGATGCAGCGGCGATGCGTTGCCTATGCGGCGCGATCCTCCGACCCCATCTGCTCGGCCCGGGCCCCATGTCGGAGGCCTCTGATCGACTACACGTAAGAGTGACCCTTACCTTTGGTGCGCGCTCACTCGGGTCCCTCGATCGCCGCGCTCGTGGCGATCTTCGCGTCTTGCGCGCTTGTGCTTGGCCTCCTCGCGCCCCCGAAAAAGTTGCGCGCCAGAGGCCACTCTTGCCCAGGGTCGCTCCTTACATGCAGCCGAGAAGGGTGCAGCGGCCCCGAATCTCGAAGAGCAAAATCAGGAGGGGAAAAAACACACAGACACAATCAATCGTCGATTCCCCAGAAAACATGGGAAAATATGCGAAGTGGGGGGGAAGACAGAAGCCAAGAAAATATGGGAAACTATGGGGAATCTGTTTATCTGTGTGTATTCATTTGTGTGTCCTGGGGCCCCTTCACAAAACCTGGCATCCGCACGGCTTCCTCGAGCTCCGCGCGGGGTCCTCGCATTCGCGCTCGGCCCCCCCCCCATGGGCGCCCCGCCCTCCAGCTGCCGCCCCTGGCGTGCCCCGCGCGGCAGGGAGGGGGGCCTACCGCGCCGATCCAAGATGTCCGCGCGGACCTCCGGGAAACGATGCTGATGCTTAGTGGGCCCTGGAAACGACAGGGCCGTTTTGTTACCGGTTCCGTTTTGCTGTTTTTGCTGCCGGTTCCGACGCCGTTTTTTTACCGGTTCCGTCGCCGTTTTTTGACCGGTTCGGGCTCCGGTTCCAGTCCTGGAGCCGTTTCTTTGCCGTTTCCATTTTCAAGGGGCATTTTTATGGAAACGGTGGAAAAACGGCCCTGCCGTTTCCGGGGCACACAGTGCTGATGCACTTGCCCATGCACCGCCGATCGGAGGTCGAAAGGCCTGCTGTACGTTGATGACTGCAGAGGCCTCGCAGAGATTGTCTGCTGTCGTGCACTCTCCCGTGCACCGCCGAGGGGGGCCCGCTAGCCGAGGGCCCGCCCCATAGGACCGGGCGGTTCCTGATGGATCTGCGATGCATCGCCGATTTCGGGTCGATGTCCCCCCCATCTGAGGCTCGGAAAGGAAAAGGTACCCACACCTCCACCCTTCCCTCACTTCCCCCTTTTTTTGGGGGGCCTCCTGGGAGGTCCTCGGCGCGACCGCCGGATCCGCCTCGAAGTCCCGGTCGGAACGCGCCCAGGACAGGTCCGCCCCTCCGCAGTATGGGCACTTTCCCCAGAGGCGGTCCCCCCCCCTTCCGCGTTCCCGCGCAGGTGAGGGTGCGGCTGGACGCCCTCAAGGCGGGGCGGCGCCCACCTCGCTGCCGCCGCGGCTTCGGCCCTGCCCGCTCCCCCCCTGCGGGGCTCGTGCTCCCCCAGAAGTGCCCCTCCTTCTCGCTGCGAACCCTCGAGCCCCTCGAGGTCCGAGGCCCCAGGCTCTCCAAGGGCGCCCTCCAGGCCGCGAAGTTATCCGCGCTTCGCGATGACGACGACGACGACGACGACGACGACGACGACGACGACGACGACGACGACGACGACGACGACACGACGACGACGACGTCGAGACAACGACGACGACGACGACAACGACGACGACGACGACAACGACGAGGGGTCCTCCTCTTCTCCCCTGGGAGGCGGCGCGAGCGCGCGGAGGGAGTCGCACGCCGCGCTTCTCGCGCAGCGCGAAGCGCGAGGTTGGGGGAGCCCTTGGTGCTCGAACGCTCCCGCCGAGGCGCTCTGGGGCGACCCCGACTTCGTCTGCCGCGTGGTGATCGGGGGCAGCAATAACTTTAGGAGGGGGTGGAGGGGACAGGGGGGATTCGACCCAGAGAGTCGACGCTCCAGAACGATGGGAGCGGGCGGTTTTTGGACGCTCCCGCCCCTTTCGCCTCGGGTCTGTTCCCGCCGCGGGGGCGCGCGCTGCCAGCGGCTGCGCGCGCCTCGCCGAGGGCGCGGGGGCGGGGTGGGGGGCGTCCTGGGATATCAACCCGCCAAGGCTCACAAGCAGCATGCAACGCGCGCGATCCAGCCCGGGCAGCGGGAGACCAGCGCCGCCGTGTTCCGGTAGGCCGGGTGTGTGCCGTCGCCGGGCGCGGCGGCTGGCGCCGGCGGAGCTTTTGCGCCGCACCCTCGCAGGGTGGCCCCCGGCACTCGCACAGCGGACAGGGGAGGAGGAGGAGGAGGAGGAGGAGGAGGAGGAGGAGGAGGAGGAGGAGGAGGAGGAGGAGAAGAGGGGGGGGAGGAGGAGGAGGAGGAGGAGGCAGGAGGGGGAGGAGGAGGGAGGAGGAGGAGGAGGAGGAGGAGGAGGAGGAGGAGGTGGACAGCGGAGAGATCGTAGCCCTTAGGCGATGCTTAAGAAAACTTAAGTTTTCGGCCAGGGTCTCGATTATTCTTCACGTTGCAATGCACATCCTAAGTTTTTGATAGAAGTGTTGGGGTTTTATGGAAGATCTGAGACTCTGAATTTCTTAGCCCATGGCATTTCGCAGGGTGTAGTCCCGTGTCAGATTTCAAGTCCATGGGTCATGGGCCGGCCGGGCAGGCCCGCGACGCTGACAGCAGACTGGCCAGACTGTCGCCGTCATCCGTGTCGCGCGTCTGGCACAACAGGACATACACGCACCCTGTCTGGCAGCAAAGCGTGGAAGCCTGGTGGACCCCTGAACATTCCGTCTGCAGCCTCGACTATAGCGTCGATGGGCGTCGATTCGCAAGAGCCGGCGAGATGGTGTGGGCGGCTCCCATGAGTTGCCTCCGAACCCCCGCCTTTCGGTAGGTTCGCGCGGCGTTGGCTCGCCAGCCACGCTGGCGAAGGCGTTCAAGGTTGAATTCTGCGACGCGGAAGCACCGAGGAACACAGCAACGCCGCCGGACCCGACGGAGCTCAACCCTGCACGATCGGGGCCGCCATCGATCCAAGGTTGCACGATCGACGTGGCGTCAGAGACCTATGCGCGCGCCGACGCCGCGCGAACCTGCCGTGGGCCCCCTCGCCCCGCGGGCGGCAAGCATGCCCACAGCCGCGGCCTCGCGGCCTGGACCCCCCAGGCCGCGGCCCCCAGGCGGACGCGCGGCGCCTCGGCTCGCATGCCCGGAGGCTCCCACGGGTTGCCACCGCACGCCCCCCCCTTGGGCCAGCGCGCCCACCAACCGACCAAGACACCTGCCAGCACGACGCCAACCGACCCCGGCGCCGGAACCAGCTCCAGCGGGGCAGTTCGCTATAGTATATGCTGTCTGGCCCTTCTCTGCTTTCCCCTGGCACGCGCACGCAGAGAGAGAGAGAGAGAGAGAGAGAGAGAAAGAGAAAGAGAGAAAGAGAGAGAGAGAGAGAGGCTGCGACCTCCAAGCTCCGGCCCCAGGAGGCCAGGACGACGTCCTGATGAGAGAGTGCGAGTGCGAGTGCGAGTGCGAGTGCGAGTGCTCCCCCCAAGGGCCTCCTCGTCCCGCGGGCGGGAGCCGTGCCCACATCCAGGGCCTCGCGGCCTGGACCTCCAGGCCGCGGCCCCCCGCGGACGCGGGGCGGCCGGGCTCCTCGGCTGCCCAGAGGCGACGCGGGGCCCGTGCGATCGCGCACGGTCCCGCCTCGGCATCCGGGCGGCCAGGGCATATCAAGCAGTGGCGAAGCGTCCCGGCTCGCCTATGGGCCCACCAAGGAATGTCCTAAGAGCCTCTCGTGGTCTGCACGAGGTGTTCTCGGAACAGGTCTGGCCGAGGCCGCCCTGTTTTGACACGTCGGGCTGCCGTTCCAAGAGCACGGTTTTGATTTTTCTGACTATTTTGGGTTCTGAGAACATGTCGTGGCAGGACTATGGGACTGCCGGGACGGTCGGTTCCTGCTCAAGCATGGATGCGTTCCCAGACCCCCGAAGTCATTATTTTGTTCATGACGTCGACCCGCAGAGGTCCCGAGTCCCGACCCACTCCCCCGGGACCGGCTTTTCATCCTGAGTCGTTGGGTCGTTATCTGACGGTCCCGAGGCCTGCCCTGACGCCGGAAAAAGCAACAAAAACATAGCCCGTCGTGTTTGTTGCAACCGCGGCCTGTCGTCGTCCGTGAGCCTCAATCCGCCCGCCCGCCTGTCGTAGCGAAAATAGCGAAACAACGCCCGTTGTGGGGTGGATGGTTCCTCGGAAGTGCTTGGGCGACCCGTCCTCCTCCTCCGCCTTCTCCTCCTCCTCCTCCTCCCCCTCCTCC